AGAGAGAGAGAGAGAGAGAGAGAGAGAGAGAGAGAGAGAGAGAAAGGTAGAGTACAGACAGGGAGATTCTAGCTAATGAGACCCTCATGTCCCTTGGTATAGCTTGGATATGGAATGTTTTCCAAAGACCCATGTGTTGCAGGTTTCATCTCCAGGGTGATTCTACTGGAAGGTGGTGGAACGTTTAGGAAGTGGGCCTTGTACAAGGTCCTCAGGTCATTGGCACTGTGCCTCGGAAGGGGATAGGAGGATCCCAGCACCTCATTCTTTTGCTTTCTGGCCATGAGGTAAGCAGGCTGCTCCACTGTGTGCTCCTCCCCACTGCCATCTGCCACTGCTCCCAGAAGCCCAAAGCAATGGGTCTGCTTGATCTTGGACTGGAATTTCCAAAAGCATGAGCCAAAATAAACCTTTAATTACCACAGATATTTTATTGTAGTGACAGAAAGCTGATTGATAGCGCCCCCCCATGCCCTAAATCAGAATCTTGGCTAGTTTTACTCCTCCTTTACCTAGCCTAATGTGTCCTCAAATCTCACTCCCTTCAGATCTGATCACACTTATCTTCCATCTCCTTTCCTTTCCTGTCATCTAAGAACTTCCTTCCTCACTGCCTCCTCTTCAGTCCACGCCAAACCTGCACAAACCCACCCACTCCAATTCTCCCCAAGAGTATCGACAGGTTATTCTTCCTGAAGCTTAACTCTCCATACCTCTCCCTTTGTGAAGCTTAGCACACCCTCAGTTCTATATGAGCTCCAGTCCAGCTCCAACTTCACAGTTTCTTCTACAAGTCCAACTCGTGGCATTTGGAGAAGCAAGATAAATCTGACAGAACCACACCAGAAAATAAAAATCAAGCCCTAGAATGATGTTGGCCCTGGAAAACAGAAATGTAAAAATAAAAATATACCTTGCTTTGGAATTAAAGTTTACAGTGATTATCTGATCATGACAGTTCAGTATCCTCCATAATGCAAGGGCTAAAGGAGGGTTTAAAGCAAGGTTTAAAGCTGCCAGACGCATTCGGTCCCGAACGAATCGATGGGTTAGCAAAAGCTTTTTGGAACAGAGTGAAATGAATTACGATAGAGCCAGAATAGATCTGCGTCACGTGCGCTGCGGTGAGCGTCTCCCTTTAAACTTGTGCCTCAGTAACTATACCTACAGACACAAGATATGCACCTTAAACACATTTCTCAGTGTAGGTTCAGTAAAAAAGTTTAGAAGCCATAATGATCAATCTATAGAGTCAGAACTAAAAGGAGAGGGGAGACAACCAGCAAAAAGTGCAAGGTCACCGAGACCTCCGCACGCCTTCACCGGACAGGGCTGGAAGCGTACAGGATGGATGCACCCTCGGTGGGCGGCCGCGGCCGGGGGAAGGCGGACGAATGCGGGATCCCCGATTTGGGGGTGTGAGACTCATTCAATTCAAGGGTCGGGTGGGCTGGGGAAGGCGGGGTGAGGAGAAAGGAGGCGAATCGCAGGTGGCCGACAGGGAATGTGGCGAGCCTGGGGCGCATTGGCGGGTCCCCCTTCCAGCACCACCCCGGGACACGGGAGGGCCGGGCGGGGGGCGTCCGTCCGCGCGGGACCCTCCCCGCCCGTGGGGCCCCGTCCTCACCGACGGCAGCGGGGCCCTCCCTCTCCGGCGACGGAGCCACGACGGGTCCCTCAGCCCCGGCTGCTGCAGCCACAGGAGTAGACCCGGTGGCCCAGGCCCCCTCCAGCCTCCACGACCCCGGCCCGCTCCCCGCCCCCACCTGCCCCTCCGGGAGCGAGCTCCGTGCCCGCGCGCGCCCCCTCGAAGCGTCAGCCTCTCGCAACGCCCCGTGGGCTCCTGGCGAGCATGCGCAGCAGGGCCGCGGAGCCGTTCCTCTGAGTCGCTCCTCCGGGTCTTCCCTGCGCTGCACCGAGCGGACGGCCAGACCAATCAGCGTGCGGGGGCGGAGACCTCTGTCACGGAAGAGCGGAACCAATCCGGGATTGGACAGCCGCGACAGGGGCAGGCGGTGGCCGGATTTACTGCAGGGACCCAATGGGCAGGCGGAGGGCGCTCTCGTCATGGGGAGGCGGGCAGGTGGGCTTGATGGCCATCCAGGGACCCTGCCCAGGATGTGACTGAGCTTACGGAGTTGAGCTTGGTCTTAAATGTATCCTTAGGCCGGTCACTTTCCAGAGCCAGGGGACGGAAATTTCTTATGACTCTCTTTGAAACCTTCAAATGACCCCTACTTCAAAGGCTGGAAAATTTGAGATTCAAAATAAATGATAGCAACTTGTTATAACCTTAACTAAAACTCCATATGTAGATAATGAGGTAAATAAGTAAGCAGGGAGAGGGGAAAGGTTTCGTATGCTCAAAAGCCAACTTAAAAATGCACAAAGAATAATGCAGAAAACCACAGTTTGACACCCATCTTGGTAATAATGGATTTTGGCAAAAGTCACCAATGGGCACACAATGGAGAGTGAGAGTTTAATAAAACAAGTACTTGCACAATCCAAGTTATCTTCCTAAAGGGTCCTTAATGATGACAAAGGGGAATACTAATTTTACAGTCAAGAAATGGTCCTCAAGGTGTAATCTGGGGATTCCTGGAGATCCCTAAGACTTTCAGGCAGTGTGCAAGGTCAAAACTATTGTCAAAATCATTAGCCTTTCAAAATTTCATTCACTTAGAAGTGTAAAATGGAATATTCCAAAAAGGCTACATGATGTGTAATGTAACAGACTGCATGTAGGAGCAGATACGAGAACTGTAGTTTTCTTTTAAACTAACATTAAAGCTAGGCATGGTGATGTAAATCTATAATCACAGCACTCTGGGAGGTTGAAGCAGGAAGATCATGAATTAAAGCCCAACCTGGACAATTTAACCATTTAGTGAGATGCTGTCAAAAAGTTAAAAAACAAAAAAAGGCTGGGGGTGTAACTTGGTGCAAAAGCCCTGGGTTCAATCCTTGCATCAAAAACAAACAAATATTGACATTAAAGAGATTTGCAGGGCCAGGATTTAGCTTAGTGGTTTCTCCACCTGCTGCGCAAGCGTAAGGACTCAAGTTCAATCCCTGTTACCAAAAAAAAAAAAAAAAAAAAGAGATTTGCAAAAGCCTTAAACAATGGCACTTTTTTTTTTTGGTACCGGGGGTCAAACTCAAGACCTTGCACTTGCAAGGCAGACAGTGGCACCACTGAGCTAAATCCGTGGCCCTCAATGGCACTTTTTCTATTTGGCTGTTGTTTGGGAAACTATTTTAATTTTCATAAAATATGTTAGCACATAAAGTGTTTATTAGTGTTAGATTTTTGGTAACAGCTTTCCTGAAATATAATTCCCATATCGTGCAAGTCATCCATTTAAAAACTGTCCAATTCAGTGAGTATATTAGTTTTCCCATTGCTGGATTTAATACCCAACACCCACAATTTAAAGGAGGAGAAGTTTAATTTGGCTCACAGTTTCAGGGGATTTAGTCCATAGTCAGATGGCTCCAAGGCAGGAACATCATGGTGGAAAGGTGTGGCAGAGCAAAGCTGCTTAGTTCGTGGCAGATGGGAAGCAGAGCAGGGGAACAGTGCCAGAGAGAAAGGGCTAGGGATCAGACATAGACCCTAAAACCATGCCTCCATGACCCACCCAGACACACCCAGAAGTGTGCTCCACCAATCCCCCAGGTCAGTCTCAAAGCCAGTCAAACTGTGGTGGTGCATGCTACACTAACCACCACAGTGACTTTTACTACTATAGTCACAGAGTTGTGAAAATATCACCACAGTTACACAACCCTTTCATTAGTCAAGAAAGAAACTTGTTAGCCACCACTACCTGCTATACTTTGGATGTGATTTATCCCCCAACGGTTCATGTGTTGGAAGATTGGTTCTTGATGTGGAAGTATAAAGAGGTGGTAGAGCCTTAAAAAAGTAAGGCTTCATGCAAGGTAATTAATTAAGACACTGAAGGCACTGCCCTGGGAAGGGATTAATGCTGGTCTCTAGGAGGGAAATTCTTAGGAGTGAATTAGTTTCCTGAAGAATGTCTTGTTATAAAAAAGAATGAGCCTTTGTGTTGTGTGATGGCATGTGCCTGTAGTCCTAGCTACTTAGGAGGCTGAGACAGGAGGATCACTTGTGCCCACAAGTTTGAGATCAGCCTTGGCAATGTAGCAAGACCCTTTCAAAAAAAAAAAAGTGAGCATTACCTCTGAATTTCTTTTTGTGAATCTCCATGTGGCCTCTCTGCACACAGTATCACTATTGTGATCCCATCTGCCATAAGACCCACAGGACAGCCAAGTGGAACCATACTCTTGAACTTCAAAACTGTGAGCTAAATAAATCTCTTTTCTTTACAAATTATCCAGCCTCAGATATTTTGTCACACCGTTGGAAAACAGACTAAAACACTCTACAATTGTCTTATCTTCTCAATTCTAAGCAACCATTACCTGTTACTACTGCTCTCCTAGGAGGTATGAAGTAGTATCTCTTGAGTTTAATTGCATTTCCCTGATAGATAATGACATTGAGCTTCTCATGAGTATCTTCTTTGAAGAGACATCTATTCAGAATCTAACTAGGCTGTTAATTTTGAGTGTAAGAGTTGTTTATATATTCTAGATATATGTACCTGATTAGATGAATGGAAGCCCCCCTAACTGGGTTATCTCTTCACATTGCCCCAGTTAAGATGGTGTCTTTTGAGCCATAAAAGTTCTTAATTTGGATGATGCCTAATGCATCTGATATTTTTCTTTTGTTGCTTATGTTTTTGATGTCATAGATAAAAAATCATTGCCTAAGAAATTACTGCATAGGGGTGGGGATTTAGCTCAATGGTTTCACTGCCTGCTGCTCAAGCGCAAGGACCCGAGTTCGATCCCTGGTACCAAAAAGAAAAAAAAGAAGAAGAAATCACTGCATAAACCAAATTCACAAAGATTTACCTTTATGTTTTCTTCTAAGAGTCTTTCCAGGCATGGTGGCACATGCCTGTAATCCTAGTATTTGGGAGGCTGAGGGAGGAGGATCTCAGTGAGTTTGAGGCCAACCTGGGCTACATAGTGAGTTCAGAGCAAGCCTGAACTACAAAGTGAGATACTGTCTCAAAAAAAAAAGCAATATTTTCTTCTAAGAGTCTTATGGTATATGGTGTGAAGAGCCTCATTTTTCATTCTTTTGCACGGGGATGGATGTTCTACCAGTCCCCAACTGAATGTTGGAAAAACCATTCTTTCCCCCACTTAAATGTCTTGGTATTTTGTTGAAAATCAATTGACCATAAATGTGAGGGTTCCTTTCTCTATTCTCATTTTATACTTGTGATATACTTATTGTTATGCCAGTGCCCTGCTGACTTCATTATCATTGCTTTGCATTTAATTTTGAAATCAGAGAGCTGGGTGTGGTGGCACACACCTGTAGTCCCATTACTTGGAAGGGTGAGGCAGGAGAAGCACAGCAAGTTCAAGGCCAGCCTGGGCTACATATTGAGTTCAAGGCCAGCCCAGACTACATAGACAGGCCCTGTCTCAAAAAAAAAAAAAAAAAAAAAGTTTTGAAATCAGGGAATATGAGAATATGAGTCCTACAGTCTTGTTTTTTTTTTAGATAGTTTTGTCTATTCTGGGTCCCTTGGAGTTCCTCTGTCATCTGTCAATCTTTTTGAGACTGAATTGCTATAATCTGACATTGCCGAGATTATAGAAATAATTGCCAGGCGTCCTTGCTTTTGTCACTTAACTCTATAGTGTAAACATCCTCCCATATTATAAGCTTACTTTCTGTGTAATGGACTACTAAATTATTTTTTGCACTACTGGAGAATTAATCCAGGGCCTCCAACTAAGCTATATACACTTTTTTTTAATTTAAAAAATTTTTTTTTGGTTCCGGGGATGGAACTGTGGACCTTGTGCTTACAAGGCAGGCGTGGTGCCACTGAGCTAAATCCATGGCCCCAGGGCTAGAATTTCTGCTCTTCCTGCCTCAGCATCCTCCAGTGATGGAATTACAGGATGTGCCACCACACACAAATAGTAATTTTCTTAGACGCTTTGTTTCAGAATTTTGCTGTTATCAACTTTCTTGTGGTGTCTAGCTTTATTCTTAACATTTGGAGAATGTAAGTGAAGCATATGTGGGATTGCTTTGTACAAATCTTGTACTGTATTTCTGTAGGTCAAAATGAAAGACAAAACTACAGTCGATCGCAGCCTTTCGGGAGCAGAAAGTACCTTTTTTTTGGTTGGTCCAGCCCTTGCCAACCGTGCGCCGCCACCGCCACTGTACACTTGTCATTCATCCTCCAGCAGCCCAGTGCGGTGGGGACCCGGATGGCTCCGGCGCAGCTTTCCGGGGACACTCGGAGGCCTCCGGCGGAATCTCCGATCCTTGCCCGAACGCCCCACCCATCCTCTGCGTCTCGAAGTCTGCACAGTCGCAGATCCTCCAGCCTCGCCCAGCCTTCGACCCTCATCTCTGCCCCGCCCCCACCCCCTAGGGTAGACGGCTCCCTCTCCACCTCTTCTCCACACTGGGAACTTTCGAGACCCAAATCGACAAAAATCCCTGGCTGGTGCTATCGAGCTTCTGTTATGGGGTGAGGGTGTTGCGGGGATTCAAGAAGCAACAGAAGTGGTAAACTAAATAAGGACCAAAATAGATGATAGATATTGGCAAGTAGGAAGAAAATGTTCAAATGGGAAGGCGAAGGGAGAGGGGAGGAAAGGGAGGGGAGGAAATAGGGATTTAAAAAAAAAAGAATGAAAGAAAAACAATAGAAACAAGGTTTTGTAAAGGGAGAGGGGAAGAAGGATTGAAGGGAAGGGAGGGGAATGGCGAAAAAAATGAATTAAGGTATATTATATACAGGTACAAATTCCCTATGATGAATATCATCACTATGTACATCAATAAAACTAATTCTAAAAATCAAAAAATTTTTTGAAGTAGGGAAAAAAAAAAAAAAAAGAACGGGCGACATAGCTCAGCGGTGCAGCGCCTGCCTAGCAAACACAAGGCCCTTTCAATTACCGGTACCGGAAAAACAAAACAAAACAAAAGGACTGGTAAACTGTAAAATGTACAGCATCAGCCAGGCATGGTGGCACATTCCTGTAATCCTAGCACTCTGGGAGGCTGAAGCAGGAGGATTATAAATTCAAGCCCATCTTGGGCAACTGGGCGACTTAGCGAGTCCCTGTCTCAAAGCAAAGAAAACAAAAGCATAATATTGTGGAAGCTGGTACAGGCTACGGGGAAAATGAAGCAGGAAGGAGGGGCTGCAACTCGTGGTGGAGATCATCTTGGTGGACAGTCGGCTGCTGCAGGGTCAAGTATGCCCCAGCTCCAAGACGCCTGTGCCAGGTCCTTACGAGCTGGGCTGGGGAGTCTGCAGTGCAGGACAGACTGCGACTGCGGGGCCACGACAGCACTCCAGGTGGCGCTCACCGTCTGGACACCGCTGAGGCTCCAGACGACCATCGAGTCCGCGCGCCCTCTAGCGGCCGCCGGGGGCAATCAGCTAGCCAGAGTCTCCAGGGTGGGAAGTCTGGAGGCCCTGGACGAGTTCTCCAAGCTAACCCAGGAGAACGAGAACGCTTATCCAGGAGGAAAATGCACAGAAGTTATGCACTCAAGGGCAAAGTGAAGGATGCTGTCTTCTCCTCCTCCCTCCTCTTCCTCTTTTCTTTCCTTTTTCCCTTAGAACTGAGCTACATCCCTAGCCCTTTTAAAATTTCTTTTATTCTGACAGGATCTCTCTAAATTGCCCAGGTTGAGTTTGAATTTGCTATCTCCTGCCTCAGTCTCCCAGAGGGCTGTGACTGCAGGTGTGAGTCACTGCGCCCTGCTACTATTTTCTTCTTAATAATAGCATTCCGCCCCTAAATGCTCTCAGTGGCTTTTCAGAGGACAGCAGGAGGACCTAGTGGTGCCACACCAAAGCACTGGGTGGGGACACTGATGGCAATGCTGCCCCATGGGCATGACGGGGTCCATCCTGCCTGACCCACCTTTGCTAGGACTGAGTGGTGATGGCTCTCTGAAGTAGTGCCCTCCTCCTTCACTTCCTCTTCACTCCTGCTTCTTTTGCGTGCCCCACCTCCACCAACTGTTCCCCAAAGCTCTTCCTCAGTTGTTCTTTTCATCTGACAAACCAGGTAACCAAGAGCACCCAGTAAAGAAAAAATGTAGTGGATTCCATTCATATATAGAATTAGGACAAAAGCCAGGCATGATAGCGCACACCTGTGATTCCAGCATCAGGGAGGCTGAGGCACGAGAATGCCTTCGAAATCGAGGCCAGCCTAGGCTACTTACTGAAACTGTGTTTCCAGGAAAAAAAGAATTTTTTTCCAAATTATAGTCACAGAATGTAATGTAAACATTACAAACAATGGTGTTGTAAAAGTAAAATGGAGACTTGGAGGAGGAAAATGTGCCCGGTAACTAGTGTTTCCTAAGAGATACTCAGATGCTGAATAATTTTTGTTTTCTTTTTCTTTTTCTTTTGGTACTAGGGATCGAACTCAGGACCTTGCACTTTTGAGGTAGGTGCTGGAACCACTGAGCTAAATCCCTGGCCCTGTTTTGTTTTTCTTGAGACAAGGTCTTACCATGTAGTTCAGGCTGGCCTTGAACTCTCAGTGATCCTCCTGCTTCAAACTTCTGAGTGTTAGGATCACACAGGTATGTGCCATCATGACTGCCTGAGGCTGATTTTGAAAAAATGTTGAAGCTATACACTGGAGTAAAAATAGCCTCTTTAGTAAATGGTGTTGGGAATCCACAGACAGAAGATTGAATCCTTACCCATTATCTCTCATCATGTATAAAACTAAAATCAAAATGGATTACACAACTAAATGTTAAATCAGAAACACTTAATCTACTGGAAGATAAGATAGGTAAACTGAAATCATAGGTGTAGGCAAGGACTATCTGAACAGAACGCCAGCTGCACAGGAAATAGTTCTGAGAATCAACCAAAGGGGATCATATTAAATTTAAAAGCTTCTGCATAGCAAATGAAATAAGCCACAGAGTGGTCTATCCTACAGAATAGAAAAACTTTTTGCCAGTGATTCTTCAGACAGAGGATTCATTATCTAGAATATATAAAGAACTCAAAAAAATTAGACCCCCCCAAATAAAAGATCCAATCAAAAAATAGGCATCTGAAATGAATAGACACTTCATAGAAATACAAATGGCAGCCAGGGACTTGGCTCAGTGGTGCTGCCACCTGCCTCACAAGCGCAAGGTCCCAACAAGTTTGATCCCTGGTACCAAAAAAAAAAAAGTACAAATGGCCAATAAATACGTAAAGAAATGCTCACCATTGCTGGCCATTAGAGAAATGCAAATTAAAACAACAGTGAGATTCCATCTTACCCCAGAAAGAATGGCTATCATCAAGAAATCAAATAACAAATGGTGGAGAGGCTATGGGGGAAAAGGAACTCTCTATACTGTTGGTTTGAATGTAAACTAGTACAGCCACTATGGAAATCAGTATGGAAAATCCTCAAAAGACTAAAATTAGAGGGCTGGGGATTTAGTTCCGTGGCACCATGCCTGCTTTACAAGTGCAGGGTCCCAAGTTTGATCACTGTAACCAGAAAAACAAAAAACAACTAAAACTAGAAATTCCATTTGAACAAGCTATTCTCCTAGGTATCTTCCTGAAAGAGTTAAATACATCACATTACAGTGATACATGCAAAGCCATTTTTATAGCAGCAAATTCATAATAGCTAAGTCTTGGAAGAAGCCTATATGTCCATCAACAGATGAATGGATAAAGAAAATGTGGTATTTATACAGAATAGAGTACTATTCTATAAAGGATAAATGAGGGCTGGGGATTTAGCTCAGTGATTCCCCCACTTGCCTCACAAGCTCAAGGTCCTGAGTTCAATCCCCAGTACCAAAAAAAAAAAAAAAGAAAGAAGGGTAAACAAGTCATTTTTAGGAAAATGGATGCACCTTGAGATTATAATGTTAAGTGAAAATAATTAGACATGCAAGTTTAAATATCACATGGTGAGAAACCCAGGGTAAAAATAAAGAACAAAATAAAAGATAGATAAGAAGTAGGGAGATAGTTCATTCTCAAAGGGGAAGAGGTGGAGGAAGAGGGAAGGGAGGGAAGGGACAAGGGATGAAAAAAAAGGAACTAGAATGTGCTGTGTGTACATGTAGCAACTCCACACAAGGAATGATTTTTTTTTTTTGGTGCCGGGGATTGAACTCAGGACCTTGCGCTTTCGAGACAGGTACTGGAACCACTGAGCTAAATCCCTGGCCCACACACAAGGAATGTAAATATTATGTACTGCAAATGTACACACACACACACAAAAGGCTGGGTGTGGTGGCAGACACCTGTAATCCCAGCACTCAGGAGGCTGAGGCAGGAGGATCTAAAGTTTGAGTCCAGTCTGAGCAATTTACTGAGACCTTGTCCCCACCCCCATCCCCCCCAAAAGACTGAGGAAGTAGCGTAGTGTGAAAGTCCTAGATTCAGTCCCCCAGTACCACAAAAACAAACACAAATCACCACAGGATCTCTATATCCTACATTTTTAAAATAAGGCTTATTTGTGTCCAGACACAGTTTTCTTTTTTAAATCTTTTTTCTTTGTTTTCTTTATTCTTTATTTTCAGAGGCAGTTTTCAAAGAATAAGGGCCATGAGGTGAAGGGACTGGAGGAAGATGACCATTGCCATTGCCTCCTCTCCAATAGAGGCAGCATCTGTGGGCCTGGGAGGGCTTGGGTTCCTCAGAATCTCCAGAGCCTCCAGACCTCCTGGAAAAAAGCTGAGGGTCTTCTTTGTCCTTATGCCAGGATCCTCTGCAGACCACTGTGAGCTGCAGGCTCACCCCTTCCTCAGAACATCCTGGAGCCACCATTTTCAGTAGGGGGCTTTGGGCCCGGGAGCCATCAGCCTGGAAAGCTTCCTGGAGAAGGCCAGGGAGGCAGTGACCCAGGGGCATCCTGGGAGAACTAAGCAAGAGGGAGTCTGAGGCCTCCTGGGAACAGACCCTTGGAAGGAAGGATCAGGCAGTGGCCAAGGACTGAGGCCCAGGGCAGAGCTGTCCCTTCTTTCAGGCCAAGGGCTCCAGGAGGGGAACTTCAGGAACTCATCTTATGGTCAGTGGCTGGTTTTGCAGGGTGAGGGGGCCCAGGGCAGTGAGGTCTGGGGGTTGGCAACCCCAGGAGAGTCATGGCCCATACCAGTAGCTCTGATGAAGGGCCTCAGAGTAGTGAAGTTGGAGCCAGGTCTCCTGGAATGTTTTTGTTTTGAGACAGGGTCTTACTTTTGAGACTTTTTTTTTTTGTATGGGGGATTGAACTCAGGACCTTGCACCTGCAAGGCAGGCAGCGGAACCACTTAGCTAAATCCCTGGCCCGAGACAGAGTTTTGAGACAGAGTTCAGGCTGCCCTTGAACTCACTATGTAGCCCAGGCTGGCCTCGAACTCATGGCAATCCTTCTGCCTTAGCCTCTGAGTGCTGGGATTACAGGCTTACACCACCATGTCCAGCTTCCTGGAACGTTTAAACCTGTCTATCTATGATGGAAAATACCATACAAGCTTTTATTCTTTTGAATTTTTTTTTCTGGTTACAAAAGTAACTAACTTACATTTGATCTAAAATTATATATAGGGCCAGGGATTCAGCTCAGTGGTATCGCACCTGCCTTGAAAGTGCAAGGTCCTGAGTTAGATCCCCAGTATCACCAAACCAAACCAAACAATACACACACACACACACACACGCACACGGTTGAGTGTGAAGAACCTGTTAATGAAGGGTCTGGGGAAGCCCTGTGGTCAGCAGAACCCTCAGCCCAGTCAGATGCAGCTAGCACTTGGCTCCCCTAGTTGCTAAGGTTACAGGGAACTGCTGGGCGCTGCAGTGGAATCTTCCCTGTGCCCCACGGGTGCTGCCCCTGTTAATCTGCAGTCTTCCTTGCCGTCTGCATCTGTAAGAGAGGCAGTGTGGGTCAGGTTGGTGGCAAAGGACAAGGGAGGGATATCCTGGGGCCTGCCTGGAACCCCCACCATGGACTCGCTCTAGTACACAGCCAGGTCAGGGGACGTTCTTGGGCCAGAAGCCTGTGCTGTGGATTTAGAGAAATAATTGTGACTCCAAGGACACTACTCCCTAAGGCTGCCAACCCAGGGATACAAAGGCCACTAAAATCATATCTAAGAAACTCTTAGGAACTCAAGAGGAAGCTGCTGCCTCCCCTACTCCCTGGCTGGAGGCAGGGCAGAGATGGGGTAGTCTGCAGGGTAGGAGGCTTGGAGGGGACAGTGTATGCCTAGTGTCTGTCCCAGTCTCCCACAGGTCTGGGGACCACAACCTCTACCTGGACTGGCAGGAGCTGGGGGGTAGCAGTCTCTGGAGTGCTCACAGTGACAGCTGGCAGGCTCCAGAGGGGCTTGAGGCTGGGGAGTGGGAGGGTCCCTCTGATGCCCAGCACTGTCCCCAGGCATGGGAACCTCAGCAGGACATGGAGGCTGGGGATGTATGTGTCCTTTGGGTCCCCTGAGAGCTCTGAAGCTCTCAGGAAATCCCCATATCAGGTGTCTTAGGGTCTCACTCAGGGGTAAGCAATGGGGCCATGACCTCTATGACCTCAGGCCACTTTCCCTAAATTTCCATGGATGAAGCCCCCCTGCTGCCCAGTTAACTGATGGGGACCCCAGAGTCACCCTCCTCTCCTTGTGCTTGGCTTCCAGCTGGGTAATCTGGCTAAGCCCCAGGGGATCACCATTCAGAGGCACCAAACCAGGGCCCAGGACCATAGCTTTTATTGTCCCCATCTCCTCAGGGCATGACAAATCCTACTTCAAGCTGAGGAGACACACCAGCTCATCTTCCCACCCACTGGATACCGCCCAAGGCACTCCACACATAGAACTGCAGACAGAGTCAACAGAGACATTCACAGGGACAGCCACCCACCCACTGGACATGCCCAGAAATGGTCACAACACATGCACACTCTCCAGTCAGCCTGGAGAGTCTATCTGGCCAGATATCAGGAAACTTCCTGCTCCAGGGAGGTCTTGCCTGGTGCCCTTCACTGGGTCTCCCAGGTACTGGTGGCCTGGGACTCTCCTCCCAGCCCCAGTGACATTGAGAGCCACATAAACTGACAGGTGGATCCTCCTTGTCCAAAGAGCATCCCAGCACTCTGGCTTCTGCAAGTGCATCCTGTGGCCACCAGCTCCTAGCCCCTCACTTCCCCCTGCATAGTCCCCCAGCTTCCTCCACATCAGCAGCCCAGGCTCAGCCCCTCACCTCTCTCCTCTGTTCCTGTGGTACTCAGAGGACACTCACTGTCCCCATTTGCCTCCAGCCCATTTCTTTTGTGGCTGGGCTCCTGACTTCCATGTCACTGCTTTGTGGAAACAAGAACCTGCATCCTGAGCTAGCTGCATAAAAAGGAGCAACACGTGCTCTTTGCTGCCACCACCTACACTGTCATACTCCCGCCACAGTGGGATCAGTACAACCGAGGTACAGAGTTCCTCAGTGGAGGAGTGGGTGGGAAGAGGTGGTGGTGCTAAAGATGCCCTGTCACCCCATCACTCCAAATCCAGGCCAGTGAGCTTGCCCAGTTACTGCCTGCCCTTTGCAGTCAACCTGCAGCTATTAAGGCCCAGGAGCCTGAGCTGTACTGCTGGGAGGCTCCAGGAAGGGTGAGGCTGGAGCAGAAGAAGCAAGTAGAGGAAGCAGCCTAGAGAGGCGGGCACAAGGCCATGGGGCCTAGGGCAGGTCCCTGTCTAGTCCCAAAGCCCAGTGGGAACACAGCTTCTGCTCAGGAGATGCAGACAAAGGGCCGAGAGCAGGAATGCAGGGGTGGTCTGCACTGGCCATGCATTAGTTCTAGAGCACATGGAAGGAGTTCATGAGCCCAGGCCTCTGGAGACACAGCCTGTAACCTTAGCCCACGAGCAACTAGCAGCCCCAGCACCAGCATTGGTGACAGCCCCATCTCAAACTCCTGCATGGAGCAAAACATGTGAGCAGCACAGAGTGGGGAATGGACTTGGAGGGGACAGGGAGACCTTGCAGGACTGGAAGGGGCCAAATCAGGGTCCTGGGCCCCTTCAAGGGATGGTGGGCCTATACCCATAAGCCCTGTGCCATCTGCCTCCTGCACATGCCCAGAGGAATTAGGGGAGCCAGGAGGGTCAGAACAGAGGGAACAGCAGGGACCTAGAGCAGGACCCAGCTGTGTGGGCAGCTCTGACAGGAACCAGGTTGTCCCTGGTAGGGGCTAGTAGGGCTCCCATATCCTCACCTGGGTCCAGCTTGCTGTGTTTTGGCTCAGGCTCCTGGGGGGCTGCCTTGATAGCCCGTTCAGCCTCTGGGTGGGTCTTGAGGAGGGCCTTGGCCAAGGTGGCAGGGCCTGGTGCCCCCAGGGACATGACACAGTGCACCCCCTTGCGCTTGGCTCCAGCCACCTTGGTGCTGTCTTTGGAGGCTGTGAGTAGGACCAGTTTGGAGAATTTCCTGGGGTTTCTAGGGACTGCTGGGACAACATCCATGCCAGGCTTTAGTGATGGTTCCAGGTCACTCTTCAGGCTCTCTTGCTCACTAGATGTGGGCAGGGGCATCCTGGGACCCTCAGGCTGGACCTAAGGCCACTCAGCCCCAGCAGAAGTATTCCTTGTCCTTCTCCTTGGCCAGGAATCAGCTAGTCTGGGCTCTGTCCTAAGAGAAGAGGCAAAAACCTGGTCAGTGGAGGAGCCCTTGGGCCTGGGGCTTATGGACCTGGGGCTTATGGACCTGGGCGAGCCAGGCATGGTGGTGCACACCTGTAATCCCAACATTTAGGAGTATGAGGCAGGAGGATTGCTATGAGTTTGAGGCCAGCCAGGGCTACATAAGGGAACCATCTCAAAAAACCAAAAATATGCTGGGTATGGTGGCGCATGCCTGTAGTCCTAGCACTTGGGAGGCTGAGACAAGAGGCAAAAACAAACAAACAAACAAACAAACAAACAAATGAAATGAACCTGGGTTGGAGCTGGGCCAAATGGTCTGCCTCAATGCTCCTGGGGCTGGGAGGCTGGGGAGAGACCTGAAGGAAGGAACTAGGGGCCCTGGTTGCTTCTTCTCTGCTGTTCCTCTCCTGGGGCCTTAGGGACATTGCCTCCCCACCCAGCCTCACCTTCCATTTGTGAACTGGGGCCAGTAAACACCCCTCTCCAGGGGCTGGCAAGAGACAATGCACTAATACTTGACCTTCTCTGTGCCCAGCACAGAGGCGATGCCCTCAGCTGCTCTTCCCTTTAACCTCCAGCTCCTGGGCTATAATCAGGCCATTCTTCTTCTTTTGTTTTTTTTGACAAAGTCTCACCATGCATTTCAGGGTGGCCTTGAACGCACTATGTAGCTCAAGCTGGCTTTGAACTCATACCGATTTTCCTGCCTCAGCCTCTCGAATGCTGGGATTACACGCATGCACCACCAAACCCAGTTTAAGCAGGCCATTCTTATGAACCCAAGCACTTTACAGATGCTTGCCAGGGTAGAGACATTCAGAGCTGTCCCCACACAGCATCTGAGGTACCTCATTTGTATCATTAGAAACTGGTATTCCTGAGCCTGGGGCATGGAAGACAGGTCAGTTAATGGCCCCTCCCAGAATGGCTGCCGTCCTTCACCTTGTGGCTAGAGCAGCTGAGGGACAGATGCCTGCTGATGCTGTAAAACCATAGCACTGAGGGTTGGCCCTGGCAGTGGTACTTCCTGAGCTCACAGACAGCTGTGTGCCATCCCAGCCTGGGATTGCTCAAATTGCCCTTGGGTCTGAGCTGGTCGCCATCTGGTGACATCTGGCCTGGAGAAGCTTGTATTGTGGGCCACCAGCCACAGGGCCCTGGGGCCTGGGTGCTGCAGCTTCAGTGTAGGGTGGCTCTTCTGTCTTAAGGGGGACTGGGTAATGGGCAGTTGGTGGGGCCTTTCCTACCCTCCAGCATCAGCCCTGAAACAAGATGCAGGCTGGGCAGACACCCAGCCTCACCCCAGACCCCGGCAGGGCCAAGGCCCCCAGGTGCCTACTTGCCCACTTGGGCCTGTTTCCCACACTGTTTCCCTCACTGTTATCTTTGGCCCCCCTGATAAACCTGGCATGAAGGGTCCACGCCCAGCACCACAGTTTGCCAAAGCCCCATCTTCCTTTAAAGGAGGCCAAGAAGTAGGCTCTCGGGAGCTAGGGTGTCTTGTCCTTTGAGTGCATCCTGTGACTAAGCAGCTAAACATAACCACTGAATAAAAGGAGAGACCTCCTACCAAGATGCATCATGTAAAGGTACAAGATCCCAATGATGAATGTAACTGTATCATATATCTAAAATGTACCAATAAACTTAATTTTAAAAACTGCCTAGAAAATTGTCTCCATCACTGAATAAACAAGGTATGGCTGAATATGATTTAAAAAAAAAAAAAAAAGCAGAGACCTCCTCAGAGGTGAAGCCCCTACCTAGGCGCTCATTTTCTCCACCTGTGGGCACACAATCCACAGGCCACGGCAGATTATCCACCTTGCTCCACCCGTGCCCAGCCCATTTTGCCTCACCAGTGACCTTGGGTGCCAGAGTCCAGAGGATCAACTCTCAGCAAAGACTCAGCGGGCGCCTCCTGGGCAGAAGAGTGACAGCCAGAAGCCCTGCCCACAGATGCTCTGTTTCCTGATAGCTGATTGGCCCCAGAGCATGTCCCTCCACCGGCAGTCCAGCCCTCGGCGCCTGGTCTCAACACTGTCTGGGTTGAATGGGGGATCTCTTCACCCTGCTTTCTTCTTACATATGGTACCTGCCAGTCCCTAGCTGTCTGCGTCTTGGGACTCCAAAAATAATGTGGCTTCTTGTTCAGCCACCATGCAATTCCCACGGGAGAGGAAGTGGGTCCCCAGACTGGGGCTGTCTCCTGAGTCTGGGTGGGCCTGGCATCCAGCTGCTCTCTCTGCTGTGCTCCCAGCCCTGCTGCCGGGCCAAAAGAACAGGAAGAAAGGGTCCTTTGAGACGTCAGGCTCGTCTCAAAGTAAGAGATCAAATCCTAAGGTAAGGGATAAAATGGACCTAAATTGTTGACTAAGTCTCCAAAGAAATATCAAGAAAATTAGAGCACCATAATAGCCTAAAACACAGTAAGTGATGAATAAATTGTAGCTAGCAGCAGCTCCAAATCTTTTTTTTTTCTAAATCTTGATTTAAAACTTCCTGGCACATTCAAATAGAAAGCATCTCCAGAAAGGCAGGGACCCTGGGGCCTACACACAGGCATCAGCAGGGGTGGCTTCTTTGTGGGGAGGCCTCAGCCAGCTGGATCTCAGTACCAAGCCCATACAGATCCCATGGCTCAGGGTGGAGTGTAGCTCAGCGGTAGAGTGTTTGCTTAGCACACACCAGACCTTGGGTTTGAGCCTCACATGACGAAATAAACAAAAACCAGATTCAAAAGCTCTTCCCAGAGGATCCAGAATACGCATATATGGATTTTTCCTTTAGGATCATCATTCAAGTAATAATGTAAAACCCCAATTTAAAACTTGTATAAAAAAAACACAACTTGTTGTACAAGCTACTTTCCATCCAATGGTTACCAACCATAGTCTTGCACAATACATAACTCCTGTAAATTGCTGCAGGCAAGAGTGGAGATGGAACATGTTGAAAATTTTATTATTATATTGAAAGAAATAATGTAGAATAAATTAAAATTAAATAAAATAGCAAATATCCACAACCCCAGCATTCTATCACCAACTACTTTTATTTCTGCCTTCTTGTTATGCATTTTCCTCATAGTCACAAAAAAGCTTTAAAATAACTATACTTCCTGTTTTCTTTCTATTCTGTGTGTGTGTGTGTGTGTGTGTGTGTGTGTGTGCGTGCGCGCGTGACTGGGGATTAAACCCAGAGCCTCCATAGTAAACTACATCCACAGGCCTTTCATTATTTTTAAAAATTTGAGTTGAGATAGGTTCTCACTAAATCATTAAATTGCCCAGGCTGGGCTTGAAACTTGCAATTCTCCTGCCTCAATCTCCCAGAGTGCTGGGATTTCAGGCCAAAACACTTTAATCTACATTAGGGGGTGAAGGATACACAATTTAAATCTTAAGCAACATTATTCTATATGGCCACAAGAGGGAGATGTTGTTCCTTAAAATGAAAAGCTTTTCAGGAAAATCAAATGCATCCCATTTTTTTCCCAAGGCAAAAAGAAAAAGGGGTCTTAAAATATTTATATTTGGTTTTACAAAAAAGTATTAGTCAGAAAGTCCAATGAACAAATTTACCAAATACTATCTTTTCTAGACTAAACAACTAGGGATCTTTTCCAAAATGACTAACTCAGCTCTGCGGTCCTACATACCTCCCCCAGACACTCCTCCCTCCTCCACTCCTGTCACATCTGCTGAGTACTTGTCAACTTTATTTAACCTGGTCCTCACTTTAAAATGGTGTTTTCTAGTCTGTTTTCTTTTTCTTTTCTTTTTTTTTTGGTGGCAGCGGTGGGATACATCTAGTCCGTTTTCAATGAATGATGTTAATGCACTAAAGTCAACTAGGAAGTAATTAACAAAATTTTAACAGTAGTAAGAATGAATGATTTCAAATTACAATGTCCATGAACTCACTTTTTTTTTTTTTTTTTTTGAGATAGGGTCAGTTCAGATTGGTCCTGAATTCACTTTGTAGCCCAGTCTGGCCTCGAACGTGCAGCAATCCTCCTGTCTCTGACTTTCAAGTGCTGGGATTACAGCTACATTCCCAGCCCCCCACTTTTTTTTTTTAAATTTTGAGACAGTAAATTGCCCAGGCTTGGCTTGAACATAGATCCTCCTGCTTAAGCCTCCCAGAGTGCTGGGATTACAGGCAGCTTAAATTTTAAAAGATATGATACATGTATTCACAAGATACTTTTTTTATTAGTCCATTGCTTGATGAAAAAGAGTCCCTACTCCTGCGCACTCAATGTCACATAAAAAAATGAAGATTAATATGTGTCTGAGAGTGTAGCTCAGTCGTAGAATTCATGTTTAGCATGTATGAGGCCCTGGGTTTGATCCCCAGCACTGCTACGTAATTTTATTTATTTAAAAAGATTAATATTAACTACTAGAATAAAGGAGCTAGGTGTGGTGGCACACGCTTGTAATCCCAGCACTCAGGAGGCTGAGGCAGGAGGATTGCTGTGAGTTTGAGGCCAGCCTGGGCTACATAGTGAGTTCAAGGCCAGCCAGAACTCATAGTAAGACCCTGTCTCAAAACACCAAAAAAAAAAAAAAAAGTATCTGAACTACTAGAATAAAGAAATGAATAAAATTAAATATTTAAAAATTTTGTTTCAAACTGTAGACACAACAGAAAAGAAAGAAAGAAGAGACCCAGAGACCTCTGGTGGCCTGGTGAGAGGCAGAGGAGCAGGGTGCCTTTCCTCCCAGCCCTCCTGCCATATCCAGCACATATGTGACCTGAGTCAGGGGCACATCCTACAGCATCAGCCCGACCTCCCTTCCAAGGGTCACCACCATCCCTGTTCTGCCCTTCGGAGACGGTGGCTGTGGGCACAGGGTGAATGGCCCCTAGGACTGCACAGCTGCTAAGAGCCAGAACTTGAACCCATGTCTGGCTGGCCCAGAGCCAGTGCACCTTTCCATGCCCCAGAGCAGCGATGCTGAAGTAAGCAACAACATGGCTCTGAAGAAAACTGCACAGAGCTGGGGACATACATGCCTTTGAAGTCAGTGGCCAGGATCACAACCTAAGAGTAAAATAAATACCCACAAGATCAAAATGGTATTTAAAAAATGACATAGATGAATGTTGGAGAAGGGACAAATCTTCCCTAAGAAGATCCCATACAATACAAGTAGACACTTCCCCTTTAGGATTGTCCCTCCCCTCCCGATTGTCACCTGACTTAGTGACTTGTTTCTAAAAATAGCAACCCTGCACTGGGAGCACCTGGCAGACACTGGCTCATCCAGGTGACCAAGGTTAACGTCATCTGGGTCGAGTTGTGGCCCTAGGTGCCCTAGTAAGATGTGACCAGAAGAGTATCCTGGCTCTGTGGGATCCATCCCCCTAAAGCTATCACCCCAGCTAATCATGAGAAAACCTCAGACTGCCCCACCTCAAACAGGAAAGTCTACAAAATGTCTGGGCAGGACTCTTCAAAACTGTCAAGGTCATCAAAGCCAAGACTGGAGACTTGCCACAGATCGGAGGGGCCTAAGGAAAAGGGATGACTAATGCAATGTGGGATTCCAGAACACATTTTGGAACAGAAAAAAGGACAGCAGTGAAAACCGTGGGAACATAAGGGAGCGGGGAGATGGGGAACAAAAAAGAAGGAAGATGTATCATGTACTGGTACAAATTCCCTATGATGAATGTGATCATTATGTATATCTAAAATGTACCAATAAATTTTGCACAACAAAGTGTACAGTTTAGTGGTATTGTGTGGGCTGGGGGTGTAGCTCATGGTAGAGCATCCTATAGGAAAGGTGGTTAAAAAAAAAGAAAGAGTTTGTGTTTTAACCAACAAGAAAGTTAAAACCAACCCATAAAAGCTGGGTGTGGTAGCACATGCCTGTAATCCCCGCTCTCGGGAGCTGACGCAGGAAGATGATAAATTGGAGCGCTGGGTAAGTCAGTGACTTTGTGAGACCCAGTCTCCAAGGGGGGTGGGGAGGAATGTGGCTCAGTGTGAAGGCCTTCAGTTCACTTCTCAGTACACAAAAAAATTGTTTTATATACTTTTTTTTTTTTTTTGAGATAGGATCTTGCTAGCGGAAGCAGAAGAGTCTGAAAGAGAGTGAGAGTGAGAAAGAGAGGACAGCGAGACAGATGTAACAATGGAAGCAGGGTCCACTAGAAGAGGCTTTGAAGGAAGGGATCACAAGCCAAGGAGTGCAGGTTGCTCCCACAAGAGGCAAGGAAACAATTCTCTTCTAGCGCCTCAGGAAGAAAGGCAGTCCTACCCACATCTTGATTTTAACCCCATGACCTCTGATAAGATAATAAAGTTACATTGAGGGCAGGGATTTAGCCCAGTGGTGCCGCTGCCTGCCTCGTGAGCACAAGGTCCCGAGTTCGATCCCCAGTACCAAAAAAAAAAAAAAAAGATGTGTATGCATATGTACCAACTCCCCACAGGAATGTTATCATTATGTACTGCAAACATGCACCAATAAAAATAAAATATTAACTAAAAAATAGTTGTTATTTTAAGCCACCAAATTTGTGATTTTTTTTTTGGTGCCGGGGATCAAACTCAGGACCTTGTGCTTTCGAGGCAGGTATGGTGCCACTGAGCTAAATCCCTGGCCCTGATGATTTCTTATGGTAGCTATAGGAAGATAGTACAAGGTCCAATACTTGTATCAATGAGGTTTTAGAAGCCTGGAAACTCACCTGATACCTTAGATGGGTCAACAGAATTATCTTCCTATGCACCAGAGAGAGATACTAATGTCCACTGATACCTGTGTCCTCAGCCACCAGGACAAATGCTTTACCCTCTCTCAGCAAGTTTCACTTGTGTAATGGGAATTGGGGTGAATTTAGCAGAGGTTGTTAAGAGAAGAAGGGTAAAGTAGTTTGCACAGTTCGGGGAATAGGGACAGCTGCTCTTCATATCGATGCAGTGCGTGCGTGCGTGGAGAGCTGTTACTGCTGCTGGTGGGATGATGTGACACTTGGGTGTGCAGGGCATAGCCTCACAGGGAGATTTAAGAACACAGCTGTGACAACTCTTCTCCCCAAAGAAGGTCAGGAACTGTCCTCTGTAGAATGCAGGGCAGAGCTTCCCCAAAGTGAGAATTTCAGTTAGGGCGCCTCCTTTCCCCAAGCTCCATGGCTCAGAATTTTATTCTCCTCTTCCCCTACCCAGTGGTACTGTGCTCAAATGGCCCCGACCTCCCGTCCCTCTCCTACCAAAGCCACAGCCTCCTGGCTGAGCCTCCGGGGTGTCTCCTCTCTCTCCAGATCTCAGGCCTCCAACTCGCTGCCATATGCAGGGACCTCGGGATTCAAAGACTGGAGGGGACTGGGGTGGGTGCTGGATGGGCGCTTACAGCATGGGGCAGGCATGCTCATGGGAAGGCAGGTGATGTGGGGCTCCCCGCTTTGGGGGTGTCAGGCTGTCTTAGGGTTGAGGGGTGGCGAGGAAAAAGGAGGTGGATCATGGGTGGCCGACACGGAGGTGGCTTGACCCCGGGGCGCAGGGCCAGGGACCCTTCCAGCATCATCCCCTGCGACCCAAGCAGAGGACATCAGTCTGCTCAGGACCCTCCCCGCCCAAGGGGGCCCGTCCTCACCGACGGCAGCTGGGCCTTCCCTCTCCGGCGACAGAGCCTCGGCGGGTCCCTCGGCTTTTGAAGGGGTGCCCAGCCTCCGCTCCCGCCGTCACCTCAAACTGAGGTCACAGTACGAGCAAGCGCAGCACGGCCTCAGGGGCCCACTCCTTGGTGGATTCCGCTTCTCCGAATTTTCCAGGAGAGATTTTCGAGCCGAGTTGACGGCCCGACCAATCGGCGTGCAGGGGCGGGGCCATAAAAAAACCAAAATGTGAAGGTGCCAGGGAGGTAGCTTGGTGGCGCCGCGCCTGTCTGGCAAGCGCAAGGTCTTCGGTTCGATCGCCGGTACCGAAAAAAACAAAAACCAAACCAAACCAAACCAAAACAAAGTTAGGGTGACGGGGACAGTACTGAATTGGGTGTCATCGCGGAAGGGTGGAGCATCTGGGGGACCAACGGCCTGGATTCAGGTTCTGGGCCGGGTTCCACCGCTCTGGGGTGGAGGGTTTAACTGAGACCACCAGGCCTCCCCTAGTATTTGAGTCCAGCTCCCTGAGGAGGACACTGGAGCATTTGTCTCAAGTCCTTGTTGGCCATGGGTGCTTTGCTGAGTGAGAGGAGGGATTGTATGTCCCTGTTCACTGAATCCACTGAATTTTTCTGTCTTGCATCCTTGACAACATACCAGCTCTCACTTTTGGTCCATCCCTCGCCCCTCTGGTCCAGCCTCTGCTGGCCGGGCACCACCACTAAGTACTTGTCATCCTCCAGCTGCCCTGAGCGCTGGGGATGGGGATAGCCCCAGGTGCTGCTTTCCTGGAACACTTGGAGATCATAATTTCATTTTTCCACCTCATTAATTTTATTTATTTATTTATTTATTTTTGGTACCGGGGATCGAACTCCGGTCCTTGCACTTGCGCAGCAGGCGGTGGAACCCATCATTAATTTTAAATACCAGAAAGTAAAACTAAAATATGCTTTGTTTTCTATTTTAGACATGCATTTTCTTTTTTTTTAATTCATTAAGTTTATTGGTACATTTTAGGGATACAATATGATGACGTTCATCATTGGGAATTTGTACCTTTACATGATATATCTTGGTTATTTTTTTTTCCCATTCCCCTGCTCTTCTTTCAGCCCCTCCACCCCTCTTTATTTATGAAGACTTTGTTTCTGTTTTTTCCTTTTCTCATATTTTTTCCTTTGCCTTCTTTCCTTTCCCCTTCCCCTTTGGACTTTTTTTCCTATTTCACATCATCTATCATACATTTTGATCCTCATATACACTTTCAGTTTCTCACACCAGAGAAACAACTCAGTATTTACACATGTGTGTCCTATTTATTTCACTTAAGAGTATGGCCTCAATCAATGTGCTAGACATGTATTTTCTATATACTTTCAAAACTTGTCTACACTAAAATCACTAACTAAACTACTTGTCAATTGTTAGGCTAATTGTATGTGTGTTTTTGTTGTTGTTTTGAGACAAGGTCTTGCTATGTAGTTCAGGCTTGTAGTTGGAAAGTCCTGGCCTTTCTATCCTGAAGAAGGAATGTGTACTCCAGGGACTATCTGGTCAAACTTGAATTACAAATATGCCATGAGCCCAGGCCCACATGCACATGCATGAGAGATGGCTCTCCTTCTTCAGGTTTTTATTTTCAATCCTGACAAAAATATTTCTTTTTTTTTTTTGGTACCGGGGATCGAACTCGGGTCCTTGCGCTTGTGCAGCAGGCAGCGAAACCACTGAGCTAAATCCCCGGCCCCCACAAATATATCTTGAGTCTTTTTTTCTTAACAGTTTGAAATTTCAGCCCAAGTATTGTTGTGTAAGCTAGAAGGTGATGGCACACATCATTCAATTCCTTTGTTCATATTTTTAAAATAAAGAAGGGGGCCAGGGATTTAGCTCAGTGGTTTTACTGCCTGCCTCACAAGTGCAAGGTCCCGAGTTCGATCCCCAGTACCAAAAATAAATAAATAAATAAATAAATAAAAATAAAATGAAATAAAGTAGGACAGATGGTTTCATTCCTTCCTTCATTCATTCACTCGTTCATACTGGGGATTGAATCCAGGACCTTTGCACTGAGCTGCATCCCATGCTGGTTTTTATTATGAGATAAGATCTCACTAAGTCACTAAGTTGCCCTGGGTGGCCTTGAGCTTGTAATTCTGCCTCAGCCTCCCAGAGTGCTGGGATTACGGCTATGCACCTGTAATCCCACCATGCCTAGCTGAGGCTGTTTTCCTCCCACTTCCAGCTCAGGCCCAGCTGGAGAAAGCCAAACATGGATCAGACACCATCGTGTCCACACCTTGCTCTCAGAGAGCCGAGCTGCCTCCCCAGGCACACAGCAGCCCCCCTGAGGGCTCACCTGTGCACTCCCTGTCCACTAGGAAGCTGTTCCCTCCTCTGGCACCTTAGCATTTCCACTGAGTCCTGGCAATGGTAGCTGATCCTCTCACTAGAGCAAGCTCCAATGGGGCCTTGCTGGGTTCTTCACTTGGGTTCTAATGTGTATCCCACACTGGGGAAGCCAGGCAGATATGCATCCTGAGGCGCTCCCAGAGGGGAGAATCAAGCTGGGCTTTCAGTTAGGGCCAGGGATCGAGTGGGTGAGATGTGGGTGGCCAGGTAGGGAACAGAACCTGGGCTCCCCCTGCCAAGCCCTACTGGACTAGCTTGTCTGCCATGTGGAAGAGGTTGGACATCAGACTGAGAACTGGGGGCTTTAAGAACAGATGTGGCCTTTTCAGATCCTCAGACAAAATGTGAGTGAAGGGAAAGAGGTCCCCAGGCACAGGATGGTGTCCCTGTCCATGCTAGAGGGCACAGTCAGCAAAGTGTGGGCTGAGAGACAGGGGCATGCTGAGAGGGCCTGGCAGGTGGGGCTGAGGCCTTCTGGAGACCGGCTGTGGTCACTCAGAACCAAGCCCAGAGGGGAACAGTGGAGATTCCCACCATGCCAGCCACCAGGGACAGGAGTTCAAGTATCGAGGGACAAGATCTGAGGGAGGAGGTTCCTGATCCTGAGCTAAGGACCCTAACCCACCATTCTCATTGAATAAGTTTGCAGGTTTGCTGACTCCAATCGAGGAAAAAAGATTTTCAAGACTAGTCAGTAAGATGCACAGGGAGAGTTTTATTAGGCAGAAATTAAAAGGTATACATGCAAAAAAAAAAAAAAAAGAATGTGGGCCCTGAAGAGAGAGAGGTGTATTACTTCCTGGAACTGGGAACATTTGAGCTCCTCTTGAGGGGTAGAAACCCTACGAAAAGGTGGCCCCAACCCCAGAAGGGTTACTGGCCCATATTATAGGTATGAGCTCAGTTTTATTTTATTTTATTTTTTTGGTACCATGGATCAAACCGGGACCTTGTGCTTGCAAGGCAGGCAGTGGAACCACTGAGCTAAATCCCTGGCCCCTGTTTTATTTTTTTGTATGGATAATTTAAACATACTCTGGATTCTCTCTCTCTCTCTTTTTTTTTTTTTTTTTTTTTGAGACAGGGTCTCATTATGTAATTTAGGCTGGCCTGGAACTCACATTGATCCTCCTACCTCAGCCTCTGGAGTGCTGAAATTACAGGCATGTGCCACCATGCCAGGCTTAACCTGCTCCTTTCTCTTAGGATGAAGTTCCTACTGTTTATTTTCTCAATGAAGCCAATTTATCGACTTCAATATTTCTGAGGAATTTTGGGTGTGATTGGTCTGGGAGGAAAAGAGCCTAAATTTGACCAAGCGAATGCTGATATGGACTGCCTTGGGTGACTTCAGCTGGGTCCTGGAAGTTGCAATCTTCTTAAAAGTACATTTTTTAGTTATGATTTCCTCATCTCCTTTCTACCTTTTATTTTTTCCATCCTACCTCACGGGTGCTTTGGCTCTCCACCGCAATGTCCCCAGCGCCTGAGTCCACTGAGACACAACAATAGACCTGGAGCAGCTTATTACATACGGGTGGCAGTCTGGGTAGGTGGACTCTGCTGTGTGTGCCCCCCATTGTACTGCTTCAGAGGGAGCCTGAAGGTGAAGGTGGCCTTTCCTGAATTCTATACCTCAGGGGCCACATGCCTTACTGGCCAAAGCTTTGAAGGACAGTCGGTCTGCTTCTAAGGGAGGAAGGAAGAGTGCCCAGGCTGTCCCCGCTGCTCCTCCCTAACTGCCACATCCCCAGAAGTGGCCAGAACAGGGCCAGGCTGTCTCAGGTGCTTCTCCCTCTCTCAGGGCATAGCCTTTCCAGTACATTTTACTATTACTCTTGAGAACACAAGCAAGGGGAGAACTGGTCTCATCTAAGACTGCCCACAAAACTGTCCTGAAGCCCCCGCAGGGAGTCAGAGGGGCCCAGGACAGAGCTGTAGGAAGGGTAAACCTCAGGGACCCACCTAGTTAGGGCCAGTGCCTGACTTTCTTTCTGTCTTTTTTCTTTTTTTCTCTCACCTCCCCCATCCTGGGGATTGAACCTCCACCCCCCACCCCCCGAAAAAATTCAGGCACACAGTAGACACTCAATAATTTTGTGACTTAAAACAATTTTTAAAATGATTTTTTGGAGGGCCCCCAATTTTTTTTTAAACTTCCAATGTTTTATTTTTTACAGCAGCTGTTTATAGAAATATAGTTTTGAGGGGCTGGGGATTTAGCACAGTGGTTCTGCCCCCTGCCTTGCAAGCTCAAGCCTCACAAACTCAAGGTCCCAGGTTCGATCCCCGGTACCACACAAAACAAAACAAAACAAAAAAAGGAATATAGTTTTGACAAATTAATGTTTTATAGACCCTGGGAAAAGAATTTTCAGCAAAGTACAAAAATTTAAAGCATTCCTTTCTTTAATTTTGTAATTCTTTTTTTTTTTGGTACTAGGGATCGAACGCAGGTCCTTGTGCTATTTTGTAATTCTTTACTGTGGAATAGCTCAGGATGTCAGTTCTGTTTTAAGTAACAGAATTGATAACTGAGCACGGAAACATAATTTGGGTTATAAAATTCTTGCTTTAATAAAAATTCCTTAAACAGGGCTGGGGATTTAGCTCAGTGGTTTTGGTGCCTGCTGGGCATGCGCAAGGACCCGAGTTCGATCTCCAGTACCAAAAAAAAAAAATTCCTTAAACAGTAAAAAAAAAAAAGAAATATAGTTTTGAGTATAATAATGTTTCAAAAGAAGCAAAATATCTTTCTAATATTTAACAAGTTATCA